TGTGTGCTGTGTGTCTGTGTGTGTGTCTGTCTGTGTGCTGTGTGTGTGTGTCTGTGTGTGTGTCCGTGTGCTGTGTGTCTTGTCTGTGTGCTGTCTGTGTGCTGTGTGTGTGTGCTGTGTGTGTGTGTGTGTGTGTGTGTGTCTTTGTCTAGCTGGCAGTTGCACTGGACCCGTGTGCTGTGTGTCTGTGTCTGGCGGTCGCCCCCATCAGCACACGTGGGGCAGGTGCACCCTTGGGCGAGGGGGACCCTCAGGGACCCGGCCTGAGTGTGTGGAGCTCCTGTGCATGAGGCGCAGGCTGACGTCACCCACTGTGTCTGGGGCCGCGCTTCTCCCGAGTTCACCGAGCCTGTTCTCCCCCCACCCCAACCGCCAGCGCGCCTGGGCAGGAGCAACACCTGCTGTCCATGGTGGCGCAGCTGGAGCGCGAGCTGGAGCTCCTGAGGTCAGACGTGGCGGCGTGGCGGCCTCTGAGGAGCAGCTGTGAGGAGGCCCACACGGTCCTCGGGAAGGTAAGCCTCCTCTGACCCTACCTCTGTACCGGATCGTAGAGCGTAGAGCACCTGCTCCCGCTGCTGCCCAGGCGCCGTTCGGTACAGAAGTGTGCGGAGCAGTCATGCCTGTGGGCGTTTCTGGAAACAGTTACATTTAAAGTGCTCTGTGCCCCTCACCCGGGGGCCTCAGTGCTGGGTGGGCGAGGCTGGACGGCTCCTCCTCCTCGGCCCGAGGCACAGGCCCGGCTTATGCCGCGTCCACTCCCACGCCTGTTCTCTGATCTACTCCAGCGTGTCTGGAGGGGTTCTTACATTTAACTGAGGGGGGGAATCACCCGGCCGGCATGGCTCAGTGGTTCGGCGCAGCCTATGAACCAGGAGTTCAGGGTTTGATTTCCGCTCAGGGTTGGGGGCGTGCAGGAGGCAGCCGATCAATGACTCTTGCTCATCATTGATGTTTCTATCTCTCTCTCCCTTCCTCTCTGAAGTCAATGAAAACATGTTAAAGGGGTTTGGGGGTCGTGCAGCATTTCCACGACGGACGTGAAGAGCTGGGGACACTGCCATGGTGTCTAAGGGGAGGGGCATACAGAGCCGCGTGATTCCTCGTCTGTGTCCTCGTGCTTTTATTAGGTCGATGCCCAAGTCCGAGAGACCGTCAGGCTCCTGCTTTCCAACGACCAGCAGGACGGCTCCCTGGACTGGCTGCTGCAGAAGCTGTCTGCGCAGTTCGTCAGCAAGGCCGACCTGCAGGCTCTGCTGCGAGAGCTGGAGCTGCAGATACTGAAGAACATCACCCACCACATTTCTGTGACAAGACAGGGGCCAACCTCTGAAGCCATCATGGCCGCGGTGACCTCGGAGGGGACTTCTGGGATCACAGAAGCGGTAGGTGGAGAGGGAGGGAGGGGACACTGGTGAGGCGATGAGGGCCGGGTCCTGAGCAGCGGGATAGGTGGTGACAGGGCAGGTGCCAGCCAGGGGGGTGCAGAGGTGGGCGCCCAGGTGGCACAGCTGCTGGGAGGACTACCCTGCTCACCTCTGTCCCAGAGTCTGGCTGCCTGGAGCCGCACACCTGAGGTTCAGTGTCTCCCGTCACAGAACCAGGCCGCAGTGCCTGCTCTGAACCCGCGTGGCCACACTCTATGTGCCAGGGGCTGGGGCGGTGGGAGCCCTTTGGGCAGGGTGGGCGCCCTCCCATGCCCTTCGCGTGGCCCCGCCGGGTGCAGACTGCAGTTTGGATTTCCCAGACATCCCCATGCCTTCATCCGCAACATAGCTCCCTGACAGTGCTCTCCCTGAAACGCAGGCTCCGCGCCTGCCGCTAACACGTAACCTTGTCTCCCCTCCCCTGGGTCGGGTCCCCTCCTGCGCTGCCTCCGCCCAGCAAGCTCGCGTCATCGTGAACAACGCGCTCAAGCTGTATTCCCAGGACAAGACCGGCATGGTGGACTTCGCCCTGGAGTCTGGCGGTGAGTGAGCCCCTCTGGTGACTGCCAGAGGCCACCTGCTGGCAGGTGCAGCCGTAGGGGCTGCCACTCCCCGTCCAGCACCAGGACTCACTCGGGCTTTCGGGGCTCCTCCTTGCCAGTTGCTTGCGCTCCAGACGGCCTGGCTCTCCCCGAGCACAGCGCTGTGGTGAGGCCATCGGCTAAATCTCAGTTGGGGGGCCTTTCCACGGCTCCAGGGCTCTTCCAGCTCTCAGGGTCCCCCCACTGTGGGTGGTTGGTTGCTGTGGTCTTGAGTGTCATGCAGTGTGTGTGTGTAAACGTTGCAGGTGGTACGTGCTTGTTGTGTATCCTCGCTTGATATGTTTTTATTGTTTTTTGAGAGAGAGAGGGAAGGGGGGAGAGAGAACATCCAAATGAGAGAAACATCGGTTGGTTGCCTCCCGCACGCACCCCAACCGGAATGGAACCCGCAATGGCCAGGGCGCTTTTTTTACGAATTGAAGGCAGCACCAGAAGGAAGACACTCACTGTGTTGTGACCCCGTCTCTGTGGTGGTCGCCGAGGTGACCTGCACGGCGGTCATGGGCGGCAGGCAGTTTCTTCCCATTGTCTCCCAGGAGGCTGTGCTCGCCGTGTGGATGCGGGTTCCTTCCGGAACTTGGCGAGACTCCCTCCAGCGCCTGCCTCCTGCCGGGACCACAGTCCCCAGGGACAGGTCCTCAGGCGTAGAAATGCAGCAAACCAGTGGAGAGAGGGCGGGGTTCCTCAAGGAATAAGGCAAGTGTGGTCTGTTAGGGCAGCGTGCCGCCTGCCTGCAGGCTCTGGACCAAGATCTCAGGCCGATGGACTTGAGAAATCAGACTGTGGCTCAGGGAAGGGTTGGGTCCACATACCTGCCTTCTGTCACCTGATCTCTGTGACATTGGATCAAACCCGGGAACGTTTCTGTGAAGAAATCGTGGATGCTCATACGACACGAGAGAGAAAGACTGAATGACTTCACGTCCGGTCAGTGGGGAGGTTTTGCCACCCTACGTTTTACAGGGAATCGCGGGTTTCTGGATATGTAACATTTAGGAATTACAGATTTTCCTGGAGAAGAGGAGGTTCTTAACGCGCTGTCGTGTGTGGAAGGGTTGGAGTCTGCAGGGGTGGTGGTGACCTTACACTCTGGCCGCCTGTTTAGTTTGCCTCATCCCGGCAGCATAGGAAGGAGGGGGGCCTGTCCCCCCAACCCCCCAGCAGCTGGCCGTGGGCCTTTTAAGTTAACCCTCTAACCCTCACGGGCCAGGTAGCAGCGGGGCCTGATTGGATTCCTTATTGTTCTTTTAAAACCATGAGCAGCCTGGCTGGTGTGGCTCCGTTGGTTGGAGTGTCGTCCCGCGCACTGGAAGGTTGTGGGTTTGATTCCCAGTCAGAGCCCATGCCTAGGTTGTGGGTTCGATCCCTGATTGGGGTCAGGGTGGGTACAGGAGGCACAACCCATGTTTCTCACATTGATGTTTCTCTCCTTCCCCTTCCTCTCTCTAAAGTCAATAGAAACATATCCTTGTGTGAGGATTTTAAAAAAACCATAAACAAAAGTTTATTCAGAGTTGCTGTCCCAAGAGGTGCGGGCGGGCGGGGAGCAGCCATGTTTAAGGGCCTCCCATGTTGGCAGGTGCACACAGCCCAGCTGAAAGCAGGCACCTCCTGGCACTGGACTTGGACCAAGTGGGGCTGAGGTGGGGGCTGACCTAGAGTACCAAGGCCAGCTCCTCCCTGCGGGGCTGGCCGGCTCTTGCGGAGGCGGGCGCAGACCCTGACACAGGCCCCTGCTTCCAGGGGGCAGCATCCTGAGCACTCGCTGCTCGGAGACGCATGAGACCAAGACGGCGCTCATCAGCCTGTTTGGCATCCCGCTGTGGTACTTCTCCCAGTCGCCCCGCGTCGTGATCCAGGTGAGGATCCGTGTGTTTGGCGGCTGGCATCATCGGGGGGCCCGTTGTGACCAACTCTGCGATGTATGTTTAGCTTTTTGTGCAGGTGTAGGGTACGTACAGGAGTGTGTGCCCTCGCCTGTCTTCAGTCAGTGAGTTTTCACACAGCGGACACATGCGGGCCCGCACCCCCAGCCCCTCTTGTCCCCTCGCCCCAAGGTTGGCTTGTAACTCCGCCCATCTTGTCTGAGGTGTGAGCTGCAGGGCCCACTGTGCGAGTCAGCTGTGTCTGCTCGTGCCTGAGAGCGGGGTGAGACCCCGCAGGCGGCTCGCACACACAGGCCCTACAATTCTGGGCGTGTGCTGCCTTCCCGGGCCTCCCTCCCGCACGGGTCTCAGGTTTCAAGGCTCATGATGAAGAGTGTAAAGCATCAGATACGTTCGTTTGGCCTCGGGACTAAACTGCTGCCTTACATTATAATGTTTTTGGAAGAAAATTTAAATTATTTTTTAACATGAAACATTCACATGATAGCGGCCTTTCACTTAGAAACCACACGCTCAGCCTGAAAGAGCTCAGGAAGGAGCTGAGCAGTGAGGGAGTGCCGTTCACGGGCAGTGCTGGCCCTGTCCGCGGTGCCGCTGGTGTCTGACCTGCGTCATGCTGCTCCTCGGTCCCCAGGGTCACAGGGTCACTCACCGCGTACCTCAGCTCTGCGCGGCCTCAGGCACGGTCTGCCCTGTGCCGTCGTGCTGGCCTGGGTCTCAGCATGAACCCTGGTGGTCAGGAGGCAGCTGTCCTCTGCATGATGGACGTGTGGGGCAAGAGCGAGCCGTGCCTGACCGGGAAGGAGGGAAGGTGCCGGCTGTGCTGGGGCAGCAGCAGTGGCGGCTGCTCGCAGGGAGGAATGGGGGCCGTCGCCAGGACAGCTGGGGAGGGTGAGCTCCCTCCGAGGGGCAGGGCAGCCCCGGGCTCGGCCCACACCTCCTAGGAGCGGAGCCACAGCTCACTGAGGCCTGCCACACCAGGCACCTGCAGAAACCCACGGGCACGCGCCCGAGGGCTGCAGGGAGTCAGAGCGTGGCCTTGGGGTGGCCGCTCCTTCGGACGGCAACGAGTATTCAGGGCCCAGGCCCTTCTCACAGGGCGAGCAGAGGGGGCACAAAGAACCGAGAATGGGTATCTTTTCCTCGTGTCGTACCATCCTGCCCCTCCCTCCCTCCTGGTCTGGGCCGCACCACAGAGCAGCCGGCACCAGGGCAGGGCCCTCCTCTGCTGTGGAAAGTACTCTTGCCGCCTGTGTCCTGTGGGCATCGTTTTGTGCCCTGGCCAGTGTCCCCGGATGGAAGTGGGCATGTGGGTCAGAGACCGATGTGCCTGCCGGCTGGGCTTCCTGAGCTTGGCCAGTGTGCACAGTGTGTGAGCGTGCGCGTCCCACAGCGTCAGCACGGCGCCCACCTTGGGCTGATGGTGGTCTGCCAGGTGAGCCACCGGACACCTGCCACATAGACTTGGTTTCCAGTCCTGTGTGGGCTGGGCCTCCTTGTGGTTGGGGACATTGACACGCCGCATGGCCTGTGTGGTGCGTCTCGCCCATTTTCCCTTTGGTTCTGGCCATGTGAGCTCCGTAGAACGCACTCACCTGTGGGAGGCAGTCACTCTTCCCCAGGTTGTCTTTTGATTTTGCTGATGGTCATTTTTTTACCATGAAAAATGCTTTTTTTATTTCAATGGTTTCAGTCTTTCCTCTTACTGCTTCTGCTTTATGAATGGTTAAGCGCTTGCCCAGCTATTAAGTGTTAGTATTTTGCCTTTCCCCAGCCGGACATCTATCCAGGGAACTGCTGGGCATTCAAAGGCTCACAGGGGTACCTGGTGGTGCGGCTGTCGATGGAGATCCACCCAACCAGCTTCACCCTGGAGCACATACCAAAGACGCTGTCGCCCACGGGCAACATCACCAGCGCCCCCAAGGACTTCTCCGTCTACGTGAGTGTGCTTGCACCCGGGGGCCCCAGAGGTGCCCTCCTCCCTGCCCACTTTCCTCTGGAGCGTTGCAGGCAGCGTGGGCCCAGTGGGGAGACAGTCAGGTCTCAGTGATGGAGGAACACCGCCCTCACCGGCGAGGAGTTGCGAAAGCCCTGAACGAAAGGCCCGGGTGGCAGCCTCGCAGAGGCCCTGGTCTCCGCAGTGATGGAGACGGGTTCCCCCGCTCCTGCTGGAGAGATGCTGTCCGCCGGTGTCATGTCCACGATCCGGTGACCATCTGGTTTTGCTTTCAGGGACTAGAAAATGAGTATCAAGAGGAAGGGCAGCTGCTGGGACAGTTCATGTTCGACCAAGAGGGGGAGTCGCTCCAGACCTTCCCCGTCCCGGTGAGCACCTGCCACACACACTGTTCCCCAGCCCCGGGCCCGAGTCCGCAGGCCCTGCTGCCGTGAGCAAGCTGCCAGAGTGCGTGGCTCAGCCTCGGGAAGGGGGCGGGGCTCCCCTCTCCCTGAATGAGCCTCTGCAGTGCATGCTTCGCTCCCGTCAATGTGTCCTGCACAGAAGCCAAGTCTGTGCTCACGGCGCGTTCTCAGCCCCACCTGAGCTGTGCCTGTGAGATGGCACAGGGCCTGTCCCAGCCCGGCTCCTCTCTCTCAGGAGCCTCGGGGGCACGTGCTTGGGCTCGGGAGTGTTAATATGAAATAAGTGTGTTTTCTTTTCTCCCCTTCGATTTCAGAAAAGACCTGAAAGAGCTTTCCAAATAGTGGAACTTCGGATTTTTTCTAACTGGGGCCACCCTGAATACACATGTCTCTATCGGTTCAGAGTGCACGGAGACCCTGTCAAGTAGAGACGCTCCTCACTGCTGCTGTACATTCTGTACATACGGGGCAGCCCGAGACACGGGACCTTCCCTTCGTGAGCAAGGGCGTGGGACATGTGACGTCCCCTGTTCAATAAACGCTGCTGACTGCCAGCAGGACATGGGAATTAGCAATGACTGTTGTGCCGCCCCTTGCTGTTCAATGGGAAGCTGCGTGTTGAGGGCTTGGGTTTACGGAGACCCGTTAGCCACAGGTGATCTCAGAAATTCATTTGAATGTATGGTTCACAAAGACACTTTGTTTGGGGGATTTGTTTTTAAACATAAAGCTGTTTATATTCCTTATTTTCTTGACATCAGGAACAAAGCAAATGATGTTAAAAGGTTTGACGTGTTCTTGAAGCTTCTACACTTAGCCGATCACTGGCCCTCTTAAAGGACTTTGGGGCAGCTACCTATTTTATCTTTTCAGCACTCAGTTCTTTCAGGGGAAAATCAGTGTCACCAAACTTCAGTTCCAAACTCCTTTCCTTCCGGGTGGGATTGTGCTTCACTCAGTCGCCGTCTCACGTCCCCGGGTGGGGAAGTGATGAATACGTGTGTTTCTGCTTCGCTTGCTCCACGGACAGAGTCTCAGAGTCAGAGCTTGGTGTACGAATACCCGGCGGGAACACGGGAGAGTCACCTCGCGCGGCTGGTGTGGGTCTGACTGGGACCCGGACGTCTAGGTGTCAGCACACACAAGTGGGGCTCGGGTCTCCGCAGGCTCCCCTTCCAGCATGAACAGGAACGGCCTCCCATCCTGTGGGTTCAGGTTTCTTTCCAGCTCTGCACAAGCAACACTAACAGGCCCCACGCCACCCAGGGCTGTTCTTACCCACTGGTGGCTTCGCAGGAGATGGTGCAGCGTGGCCCGTGCTTGAAGCCGCCACGTCCCGACTGTCCTCCGGCCTTTTCTTAAGCTGTGGGCCATTCTCCTCCCCTTCCTGGGAGACCCATTGTGGTCACAATATTTAACACTGAGGCTATTTAACACTGAGACTATTTAACACTGAGCAGACTTTATAAGTGAGATATCCCAAGCACGTAAGATGTTACAGATGTTTTACCTTAAAGTTTTATTGGGTTAAGACAGTTTCTTGGTGTACCGTAAACGTTGTATTTTCGAAAAAGATAAAATGATGGTGCTGACAGGTTTTCTGGAGTTTTATGTATATTGCGCAATAGTCCTCAAATACACAAAAACTAGGTAGCTTTTTTCCCTCACTCTTAGAATTGGAGTTATTGCCTATGCAGTTAAGTTGGATAAAATGTATACAGATGTTTCCTATATTACAGGATAAATATATGAGTCAGAATTTCCTATATAAAACTAAATTTGGGAGTTGGGGTGGAAATATTTTGAATATTTATTTTTAAAGATGCAAGATAGGACTTTGTGCAGTGTATTTTTGTAAATGCTTTCCCACATGTCTGGTAGTGCTCCTGTTGCTGCCACCAAACTAAGATGCTATTGAAATAAACGTTTAATAAAGAGTTTTTAATTTTTAAGAGTGCATGTCATACTTCACATGAATAATAAACAGCCTATTTCTTTGCCAGTCTGCTTTGTTTTTGCCGGGGAGCTGTGGGGGGGACGACTGTTTGCATGTTCTCCCGTGTGTCTGTCGGGATTTCATGCAACCGCCTCGTGCTCACCCGCTTCACCGGCCCTGACTGCAGGGCACCCTGGGGTTCGGAGGGAGGGAGGGGCGTCTTGGGGGACAGGAGCCGCTCCACGAGGAGAGGTGGGGAAGGAGCCCGCTTCCAGCAGAACCAGCTTCGGTTCATCGGTGAAGTGCAGGGCGGGCGGCGCTCCGGATCCGCTGGTTTTCCGCCCGAACCCGAGGTCTAGGCCTGCCCCACGTGT